ATTAAGATAAAGACTATATAATTTTGTATATATACTTAAATTTTATTACGAGTATTATTTATATTTATAACATAATGATGTTATGTGATTAGTTTTCATATGCTACGTATGATTAAATATGATAATTCTATCATTCATGTTTATTAATGTATGTGTATATATATATAAACAAAAAAGAAGTAAAAAAAAGTACATGTATATATGTATTTTTTACACACAAAAATACAACATTTCTTATCATTTAGCCAAATATAGATAAAAATGTAATTTATATATCTCTAACTAGTCCTCGACTAGGCGCCCGCCTAGGCGCTGGGCTGACACCTAGCGCCTAACGCCTTTTAGAATATTGATGACATATGTACTCTGGAATAGGGGTCTTTGAGGAAGAGCAGCAACAGAAGTCCTAAATAAACGAGTAAATTAAGTAGACAACTAGAGAGTTTACATGGGTCATAAGTTTACATGGGTCATCTATTATAATGCTCACAAGAGAGAATTGCAATTATGATATCTTTCTTATCTTATTTTATCTTATTTATAGTGGACTAACAAAAAAAAAGACCTACAGTGGACTAACTGTTGGGTGTGTTTCGAAAAATAAAGAAAATTAATTAATAAAAAATAAATAAATAAAATGACTAAACGAAAAACAGAAAATAGATGAAGCAGAAATAAGCAAAGCTCGTGCTACGCACGATTTCCTTAAAACGTATTCGTTGCCTCCCGGAGTGCTAGGAGCGTTGCAACGTTCGTTTCCCAGGATACGACGACTACGAGCTATTCGTTGAGCACTCAACCGAATAGTTCCAGCGAACGAGAACAACAGTATGAACACTAAGGAATTTTCAGATATGGCTGGAGAGTTTAATGAGCTAAAGAGAAGTGCAGAACGTTTGTGACTTGTGTATTTTTGCAAAACATCTACCGGCCTTTTTATAGGGGTGAATTTTGGTGTGTTAATGGCTATTTAAGGCTTGTGAACGTTGGATATCAATGTCTTAAACGTTGGGCATTGATTCATGCAAAAAGCAGTCCATTTCATGTGCATTAAGGCCATGAAACATTGCAGCATGGAGCAAAAATAAAATAGGAAAGTACCGGAAGAACAAAAATTAACGTTATCTTTAGAAGATAACTTTTCGGACGGCATTCGTGTCCGCAAGTCGCCCGCGCACGCAAATCGTGCTTTTTGTTCTCCGGTTTCGGGATTTGATTCGCACCCCCCTGCGCGCGTGAGAGAACCTTTACCCTAAGGAATTTTAACTCCTTAAGGGGGTTCAAATTCCCTTGGGTTTTCCGGTGTGGGAAAAAACCACACTAGAAACCCACATTTTCCTAGTTTTTCTCCATTTCAACGAGTGAACTTCGAGAATTAATTTCTCATTCACCCGTTATCCGTTTTGAGCGTACCATATATCAAATTGTAGCCCTAAGCAAGGACAATCCGAAACCACTTTGACCCGACCCAAATCGGAAGTGGACCCCACTCAAAATTGCCCCAAAATGACCATTTAATGTAATTTATTAACACAATTTCCAACACTAACATAATATGATCAGAATAGTACGGAGTACATTACTGGAAGGTAATGCATATCCATAGACAAGGTGATTCCTTGACATGACTCAAATCTTAGAGAGAAACTCCGACCAGATGTATTCAGTCGACCTCCAGCATATAAAATCTCTGAATCGGTACAAAGAATATTTCTTAGATAAATTTTAACACGATTTTCACATTAATAATATTAATTTTCTAATTTGCAATGGGCTAGAGCCTAACATAACATTTATTTATTTTTTATTTTATTTACTAAGTTTATTGTTTTATCTCAAATTATTTTTTTTATTATTATTCTAGCATGATTTTTTAAAGTCCAAATAAACGTTTTTTATAAAGGGAAAAAATCGCATGAGTATGTTGTAAAAGCTGGACGGGAGTCGACCCGAACAAGTGACCAGGTCAATAGTCAACTCGGATCCCGGAGGGTCAGCCCCATCAGCGATTGTCAACCCGGGTCAACGATTATTGAAAAATAAAATATAAAATATATATATAATTATATACATAGTACAAAGTATTAGATTAAAGTTGCTTGGATTAGAATTACATTGATTAACATTTAATTAATGTGTTTTGCTTAAGATACACTCTGGGTTACACCTAGAGGTACACCCTATACCACCTCCCTCCCCCCCCCCCCCCCCCCACTCCCATTTTTACTTCCCTTCCTTCCCATTTTATTCTCTTCCCTTCCTCCCCTCTTGCATCATAGGAACCCCCTCCCCCTCTCTTTCTTTTTTCTTTCTATCTTTCTCCTTCATTATCATCTTCTTCTTCTTTTTCTTTCCTTCACACTTTTTTCTTAATTATTACATTTTATTCACCTTCTATCATATATCATCTTCATCATTATCTTTCATCACCATTTTTACCCAAAACTCACCGGAAAGTTAGATCCGCTTGAATTTTTTTTTTGTATGGTGCTAAATAATGATAAATATTGTCTATAATGAAAGATGAGACTAAAAAACTAGTAACATTCTATAAACTTTCGCCATAGACAAAAAATGCATGTACACAGACACTGATTTTCTTTCAATGTCTGTGTGTAGACAAAAAGTGTTATGAAAAAAGTCAAGGATAGATTGCACGAAAAATTGTATATGTATTGACACATTTTGTCTACACAGACAACTAATATCTGTGTACATTGACATTGGTTTCCGTGCAACTACCCAGACAGATATGCCAAAGTTACATCAATCAGCAAACCAATTTTGCTCACACAGATAGTTTTTCGAAAAAGTGTCTGTATTTGTACTTTTTTATCTGTGTGAATGGCAAATAAAGAGGTGTAACCCAGAGTGTAACTCAGGGTGTACACCAAGAATGATGGTTAACCAATACGGCTGATAGAGTATATGAGTTCAAATCCCATGGCCCACATACTTAGAAGGTCAAAGACACCGAACAGGGACATCCATGTGGCATCCTTCGGCCAAGTGGCTCCCGCAACGGCCAAGTGGCATCCCGGAGACCAAGTGGGTTCCCCATCGATCGGGGATCGCATAGGCCAGGGTTTGCATCGGCCTAGATTAGCCTGATAGAATGTATTTTTACACTAAATCTACTAAGTCTTGTATTTAACCCATTAGTAGCCCTATTATGCCCAAAAGAGGCACAATTATTGTAATGGGTCTCCTAAGCCCGTGGCTAAGAGCCCAAATTCACATTTACTCCTATAAATAGCCCCCCTATGGGGTAGTTATAGGGCGTTGAGAAATATTAATTGTTCACTTTCTCTCTCTAACTCTCACTTCTCTCTAAAATTAAATACTCTATCAACGGCAGTTTAAAAGAAAAATTGTTAGAGGCTAAAAATGTTAATAAAGTAAGCTATTAAGATCCGTAAAGAAGAAATAGGGTATATTGACATCCTAGCCGACAGGGCCCCGCCCTAGGGGAGGGCAGCAGGGGCGACCACCTTAGGCCCGAAAAAATAACAAGAAAAATAGGCTCAAATTTTCTCCTTTATATGTAATGTCAGTAAACTTCTATTTTTATACTACATATATAATTTCAATTAATTAATTAGGCCTAATGTTTAATTTTTGTTGACAATTTAAAATTTTAAAACATAAGTCAAAAGTCTTGATTGGAGCCATTCAAACAAGTTTTAAAAGGAATATACATTTAATTTTGATTTCTAAGTAAAGCTAGTTGTAGGCCAATGCATTTGTTGATTAATCAATAAATGTGTGTCTCTCCACATCTTTTTAGCATTTAAGGCTTTTATCCTTTTAATTACAAAATTACCAACTTATATTATGTTTTTGGGCTAACCGTGCCTTCTAATTCCCAAACCGTACCCCATCCCAATTATCTGCGACATTGACTATGTCACAAAAAAAACTTAATGGACTAGCAATTTAAGCATTGAGCATGAGATCATGGAAAGATTGATTATGAAGCGATTATTGATGATTTTGCTTTACAATGTTCTGCGAGAAATGTTTTTAAGTAATGTTTTTTTGTGATACTTGTGTTGTTACTTTTATCCAAATATGTAATTGAAATAATCATAAAGTGAATTTTAAAACAAAAAAGATAGTTTTATTATAATTTAGGATGTTTTCTTTTGGAGCGAATTTTACTGGTCTGGTCCGGTTTAATTTGGTTTGAACTGGCCTGGTCTGGTAAATGTTTGGTCTCTTTGTTTTTTATAACTATGGAAGTCTGGTCTGCAAGTCTGGTCTGGTCTGGGACCGAAAATAGTCCAAAAGAAAACATCCTTAGCACATACTCCTTAGGGAGTGTTTGCAACAACTTAAAAAAAAACACTTCTCAGCTTTTGGTTTAAAAAACACTTATTTTATCAAACACTATCAATTTTTACTTTTTCTCGACTTGTGTGTGAAAAGTGTTTTTCTGTTTTCTATTACATAAAAAACACTTATTTTATCAAACACTACCAACTTTTATTTTTCAAAATCATTTTTTTTCTAACACTATCAACTTTTATTACTAATCATTTTTTCCTTATTTCATCTCCAAAAGTGTTTTTTAAGCAAGAGTAGTTAAAAACACTCCCTTAATATTGTTGACTTAATGAAAAGTTAAAAGAAAGTTAATTTAAATTCGCAAAATTGTTGGGACTAAACTAGAATTCCACTGTTGCAAATGAGATACTCCCTCCGTAACATTCATATCTTCCCACTTTCTTTTTTTGAACGTAACATTTATATTTTTCCATTTCTAAATCTTCCCATCATACTCTCAATAATTTAAAAAATAATACACTACTACATTTACTTTTTTGGATTTATCCTTAATTTCATCACATTATTTCACCATCTTCTCATCATACTCTCAATAATTTATACTCCATTTCACTATTATTAATCTCACCCACTTTGGAAGTGGGAAGATATATGTGGTACGGAAGGAGTATTTTGTGATATTTTCCATATGATGATGACAAACTTTTCTATCTTTTCAGTTTGCAGACACAGAAGTTGGTAGTAAATCAAGAAACAAAAAAGGAGCAATTTTTATACGCCAAAAAGGAATGTGAACGTATACGATAGATGTTCAATGTGAAAAGCGAAATGAACGGCGACTAAAAATTCAACGTGTACAGCTAACGACTCCGATTCATAGTGAATCCAAACACGCCACGGGGTCCAGGTGAAGCCTCTCCGACCGACGGACTACGGCAGATTCCGCAAGCTCTACCAAACGATCAATCTTTTCGCTCTTTTTCCTCACCATTTCAGGTCTCCCTCTCCGCCCCGCAAATCCTTGGATCTCGCTTCCCTGTTTCGCAAAGTTGATGACCTCCCTAGTTTAAATTTCTCATCTTTCTGTCGTTTTCTATGTAAAAGAAACACCTTTTGTAATTTGGGTGCATTTGGCGCGGAAATATAACTCTTGTCTCTCTGATTTGCGTCATTCCCGGAGGTTTTTGAATGACTGGGTTTTGAAATTCAGATACTATCAATTGTATCAGTGCATTTTCCGGGTTGGATTTGTAGTTTTGTATCATTGTATATGCGTTGATTAATGGCGGTTTCTGACAACGAGAGGGGGCTAGTTTTGGCAATGTTGTCAAGCTTGTTTATAGGGACAAGCTTTATTTTGAAGAAGAAAGGACTCAAGCGTGCTGCAGCTGTCGGTACTGGTGCAGGTACTCACTAATTATTACATTTATTCATTCTTGTAAATCGTCTTTTTTTTACTTCACTCGTGATCCTTATTTTTGTTCTAAATCTTTATTTTGTCAGTGTTTGGGATTCATTGGTTTGCCTCATTGTATTTCGAAACATACCCGGAGTATTATTTATCCTCCCAAATATTTGTTGCAGGTGCAGGAGGTCATTCTTACTTGCTAGAACCGCTTTGGTGGACTGGCATGATTACCAGTAAGTAATGCATAAAGCTTATACTTTCTGCCTGCATCTCTTTTTGAAGAATGTACTGTTGTGGTGTTAATTGTGGTAAAACATATTCAAATGTAGTGATTGTCGGAGAAGGTGCAAATTTTGTGGCTTATGTTTATGCCCCTGCTGTTCTTGTTACTCCCCTTGGTGCATTAAGTATAATTGTCAGGTAAACAATTTCTGTATCCATGAAATGATAATGTACAAACCCAATTCTGAGTTTTGGATAATTCTACAAAGTTAACTCTACTAGTGATGGATTGAAACAGTTCTGTTTTGGCTCACTTTATGTTGAAGGAGAGACTACACAAATTGTGCATACTTGGATGTGCTTCTTGTATTATAGGGTCTGTGATCATTGTAATACATGCTCCTCAGGGATCTGTGCCCACTTCTATAGAAGAAATTTGGAATCTGGCTACTCAACCAGGTCAGTACCTTCTCTCTGTCTTCGTCTAAATTGGTTGATCGCCATAAATATGTGGCAGTCACAATTATGATCGTTTTTCTCTTACTTCTTTGAACAGCATTTTTAATCTATGTAGCAGCAACGATATTGATTGTGTTGGCATTGGTATTGTACTTTGAACACCAGTATGGGCAAACAAATGTGCTGGTTTACTTAGGTATCTGTTCGCTAATGGGTTCCTTAACGGTAACAGTCTCCTCCTTAATGCAATTTCACAACACAATCACTAACACCCTCTGACCTCAAAATAATTGTCCATTACTCCATTAAGATAACGTGTGTAGGTTGTAAGGTGATAATTTTATTTTGAAATAAAATGACAAGTAGGGGTCATTGATTTCTAAGTATTAAAAGTAACAAGAAAAATGAAATAAATACGGGAGGAAAAATATATCCCTATTGGTGATTTCTAAATGATCTGCTAAATTATGAACAGAATGTCTTTAATTAATGGAATGTTATTTGAGAAGGAAGGGGCCATATGGTTTGCTTCCAAAATTCCCATGGGATTAATTGGTGTACATTCACAATTCACATTGCTTGATTGCAGGTTGTGAGCATAAAAGCCATTGGAATTGCAATAAAACTTACTTTAGAGGGAACAAGTCAAATTGCATATCCTCAGACATGGTTTTTCCTCATAGTTACACTGACATGTGGGATCACACAGTTGAATTATCTCAACAAGGTACAGCTGATATAAATAAATCATATAACAGCACATCATTTCCTTAGTTAATTCAGGATTTGGATCATGGCGAATTCTAGTGGGGGGGGGGGTACTCATGAGACCTATTTTCTCTTTGATTTTGTCTTGGAAAATAAAAAGGAAAGCTATATATGAGCAGTTATATTTTATTTATTATCTTCACATATATTTGGACTTCAGTTTCCATATGAAAAAAAAGTGTAAACGGATATTTATAATAAATTTATTGTCCATCTTTTATTTTATGAAAATATTTGTAACTCAACACTTACCACATAAACCTCTTATATTGCAATATTGTGCTTGGTATACTGATTTGTTCCTTGATTTTCATTCATATGCATTCACCATGCTGATTTGTTTATGTGGTATCTATATAGGCACTTGATACATTCAATGCAGCAATTGTTTCTCCAATTTATTATGTATTATTCACCACCCTGACCATCGCTGCTAGTGCAATAATGTTCAAGGTAGTGTAACTTTTTGCAGTTCTTCAAAATTATAGTTCTGTATGATTCCAGAGATATGAATTAGTATCCATCTATTCTTTTAATTTAATCTGCAGGATTGGGCAGGACAAGATGTTAGCAGCATAGTATCTGAGCTATGTGGATTTGGGACTGTACTTTGTGGAACAATCATACTTCATGTTGCTAAAGAACAGGAATCAACAAATGCAGCGGGTACAACGTCATTTCATACCATGTTACTCTAATAAGCTCATCATCATAGGATTGATAGGTAATATAATTGATAAATCCATGCAGGAACCATAATTTGGTATGATGAACGTATAAAGGATGTGGACGATGCACATTATATTACACTACACAGCTCCAACCATTTCACCTGATCTTATTTATGGACATGGTTGTGGAAATCTCGTTTCCCTTTAGAATGTGATTGCTCAGACTAAAGGTGGGACAAATGTGGTTTTCTCAACTCGATTCACGTTATCCAAAGTCCTGATTTGTGTGCAGGAGGGTGCTCTGGAATAGGTCTTGTGGATACTGAAAATTGTTTGAGTTCTGTTCAGAATTAAACGCTGGCATAATGAACTTAAGCTTATTTTGTAACATGTTGGCCATTTTATTATCCATTGTTTATAAGCTTCATTTTTGTACATGAAAGTGGCTCACACTCATGTTTAAATACTTGTTCAGTTTATGTTTTGCAAAGGCTCTGTAAAATATTTTAAAGCCCATGGACCATGGTTGTATAGATTCTTCAAGGGAAATGCCAAAAAATACTTTTATACACCAACTTGCAGACGAGAGATGCACCGGCCAAAACGTTGTTCTCACATATAATGGCACAGATTAAGATTTGTCGATGTGAACAATTATGTGTGTGGATAAGACGTATGTACAACTACAAGCTGGTGTACACAATGTCGTTAGTTAAATTGGTTAGATTCAAACGAATAGCAAGGGTTGTTATAATATCAGATAGTAGGCCACTCTGGCAATACATATTGTACACGTGTAATATCACGTATATGTACACTTTAACAGATTAGTTCTAGAAGCTAGTTAACTAATTCTGTTAGTCTCGTTTGAGCAGTTGTAGCCAAGGCTTTGTACATAAATACGTTGCTTGAAAGAAATAAAGGATATGGATTCTGATGATCATCTTCTTCCCTACAAAACTTACTCTCTAAATTTTTAGTTCGAATTCTTTTCTGTTCTTAAGAATTCCTACTGCTCTTAATGTTCTTCGCAACTCCAGCCTAGAACATTACAATTGGTATCAGAGCTTTTATGAATTTCAGATTCATGCGATAATATTGAGTGAATCCTGGCGAAAAAAGTAACAGTAGCTTCGCTCTCAGCTCTAATGGAGGACAAGGTGCAGGGCTTAGAACGACAATTGGAAGAACAGATGTTGTTGAACGAAAAGAAATTTGAGGAAACTAATCAAAAACTGGATGCATTACTTTTGTTTTTACAAAAGAAGAGTGAAGAGGATGGAGGAACTCATTCACAACACATCAACTCACCGGTAATTCATTCTGCTTCAGGGAATTATCATCATCATGGTCAGCCCAACTCAGGTAATCATGCTAAATCCTTTGGATTCTTGCCAAAATTGGAGTTTCCAACATTTGCGGGTGTCAACCCTAGGGTTTGGATTCAGAAATGTGCCAAATATTTTGAATTATGTGCTGTAGAACACAATCTTAAGGTAGATATGGCATCTCTGTACTTATGTGGTAGAGCTGAAACCTGGTTTACAAGTTACATTTCGGTTCAGGGGAAGGTAACTTGGGAACAATTTGTCATTGACATCTGTGCAAGATTTAACGAGGACTTGGGAAGTACTGTGGTGGAAGATTTTAATAAACTGACACAGAATAAATCTTTAGATGAGTACTTGGATTCTTTTGAGCAGCTGAGAAGTTTGATGTTGCAGAGAAGTGAAAAATTACCAGAAGGATTCTTTTTGGACAGCTTTATTGGGGGTCTAAATCCTACTATCAAACACTTTGTCAAGGCTTTCAAGCCTAAGACATTATTACAGGCCATGGAGTATGCCAGACTCCAAGAAAACAACTTAGAGGCATTAAAGAAACTGGGAAGAAATGAAGGAGAAAGGTTTCCTTATAGAAACTCGGAAAGAGGTACCATTAACCCTTATAGAAATGCTACTCCAGGAGTTGGCAAGGGAATATTACCTAAACCTATCAGCGTGATTAAAGATTCCAAAACCTTCCAGCCTCAAGGAAGAAGAAATTTATCAGCTACGGATATAGAAGAGAGAAGGAAGAAAAACCTATGTTTCTACTGTGATGAGAGGTATTCTCCTGGTCACAAATGTACTGCACAACTATATCAAATCCAAATGTTAGCCACTGAAGAGGATAGAGAGGCAAGTAGGCATGAAGAAGAAGAAGAAAGGTGGGAATACAATTCAGAATGTGCAGAAGTGGAGACTAATGATATTGAGATACAACCTTTGATATCACTGAATGCACTTACTGGACAACAGCATTATCAAACTATGAGGGTGACTGGAAGAGTCAAGAACAATGACTTGTATATTCTAATTGATTCAGGGAGTACCCACAATTTCCTAAACTTTAATAATGCCAGAAGATTGGGGTGTCACATCTCAAAATCTATTCCTTTGGAAGTAGCTGTAGCCAATGGAGAGAAGCTTATTACCAATCAGACTTGCCAGGGTTTCAAATGGAAAATACATGGGCATGAATTTCAGATGGATGTGATGTTAGTACCTCTGGGAGGGTGTGAAATGGTGTTGGGCATCCAATGGCTAGCTTCTTTGGGTCCTATCAAATGGAACTTTAAAGAACTCATTATGGAATTTCAATATTGCAACAAGAAGGTGGTACTGAGGGGAAACAAAAAGGGAAAAGTGCTCAGTATTAAAGGGGAACAGATGTCCAAAGAGTTGAGAACTAGTTTTGGACAACTATGTTGGATGAACATTCAACCTCATACTGCAGAAGAACAACAATTAGAAGATGTTCCTAAGGAATTACATGGAGTTCTAAGGGAGTTTAAAGAGATATTTGAAGAACCTAAACAACTCCCTCCTCACAGGGAACATGATCATGAAATTCACTTAAAACCTGGTACTAACCCCATCAATGTTAGACCCTACAGGTATCCTATGGTTCAGAAAGATGCTATCGAGGAAATAACACAAGAAATGATGGAACAAGGGATTATAAGATACAGTCACAGCCCCTATTCAGCTCCGGTAGTAATGATTAAAAAGAAGGATGGCAGTTGGAGATTTTGTGTAGACTATAGGGAGCTGAATAAACAAACCATCAAGGACAAGTTTCCCATCCCTGTCATTGATGAATTACTGGATGAGTTATATGGGTCTCGGATTTTTTCTAAAATTGACCTAAGAAGTGGGTACTGGCAAATCAGAATGAAGGAAGAGGATATTGAAAAAACTGCCTTTAGAACCCATATTGGACATTTTGAGTTTGTAGTATTGTCCTTCGGGCTCACAAATGCTCCCTCTACCTTTCAAGGCCTTATGAATCACATATTCCAGCCCTTTCTAAGAAAATTCATTTTAGTTTTCTTTGATGATATTTTGATCTATAGCCCAGATGTAAAGACTCATGCAACTCATCTAAGGCTGGCTTTGGAGACACTTCAAAAGAATACACTCTTTGCTAAAAGAAGAAAATGCTCATTTGGAGTATCTCAGGTGGAGTATTTGGGGCATATTGTTTCTAAAGAAGGGGTAAGAACAGATCCAGGGAAGATTAAAGTTATGGCCCAGTGGCCTGCACCAAAAACTATCAAAGACCTTAGAGGATTCCTGGGCCTCACAGGGTATTATAGAAAGTTTATCAGGCATTATGGCATTCTGAGTAAACCCCTGACCAGTTTACTTAAAAAAAATGCTTTTCAATGGGGAAAAGAGGCAGATGAAGCTTTTAATACCTTGAAGATGGCTATGACTCAAGCTCCAGTATTAGCTCTTCCAAACTTTAACACTACCTTTGAAGTTAAAACTGATGCTTCAGATGTGGGAATAGGTGCAGTACTATCGCAGCAACAACATCCAATTGCTTTCTTAAGCAAAGCTTTGTCTGAAAAACACAAGGCCCTATCTACTTATGAAAAGGAATTATTGGCAGTCATACTAGCTGTGGAAAAATGGAGATCCTATTTGACTGGACATCACTTCATCATCAAAACTGATCATTTCAGTTTGAAATATTGGCTGGAACAAAAAATTACTACACCATTTCAAAGCAAATGTTTGCCTAAACTAATGGGTTTGGATTATGAGATTGTGTATAGAAAAGGGAAGGAAAACTCTGCAGCAGATGCTTTATCAAGAATAGATCATGGCAGGTTGTTGAGCATCATGGTATCTGAGATTAATGCTGAATTAATGGAGAAAATCAAGGGTAGCTGGCAAGAAGGAAGGTTTCCAAAGTTGATTGCTAACTTGCAAGAAGGGACTAATCATGACAAAAAATATATGTGGAAGGAGGGCAAGTTATTAAGGAAAGGCAAACTGGTAGTGGGTGATAATGAAACTTTGAGGAAGGAAATTGTTTTGGGAATACATAACTCAGCCATTGGGGGTCATTCCGGAACACAAGCTACTTATCAAAGAATCAAAACGCTATTTCATTGGAAGAGAATGAAGAGGGATGTACAAGAATGGCTTGCTCAGTGCAACACTTGCCAGAAAAACAAACCATTGTTAAACAGCCCTGCAGGATTATTACAACCCCTTCCTATTCCTGAGGCTATTTGGCAGGACATCTCTATGGATTTCATTGAAGGTCTTCCAAAAGCTCAAAATAAGGATACCATCCTAGTAGTAGTGGATAGACTCAGTAAATATGCCCATTTTTTGTTACTCTGCCATCCATATCAGGCTAGCACTGTTGCAAAGGAATACTTTGACAATGTGTTCAAATTACATGGCCTTCCTCAGTCTATTATTAGTGATAGAGACAAGGTTTTCATCAGCAATTTTTGGCAAGAACTCTTCAGGCTTCAGAAGGTAAAACTTAAAATGTCTACAGCCTATCACCCTCAGACAGATGGGCAGTCTGAGAGTGTGAATAAATGTTTGGAAACCTATTTGTGCTGCATGACTGGAGAGAAACCAAGGGAATGGGTCAACTGGATTCCTCTAGCAGAATGGTGGTACAATACCAACTACCATTCTTCCATAAAGACTACCCCTTTTGAGGTAGTATATGGGCAGTCACCAGCTAGGCATTTTCCATATGCTATGGGAACTAGCACTGTGGAAGCTGTAGATAGAAGTCTTAGAGCCAAAGAGGAGTGTATTAATATGCTCAAATTCCATTTAAAAAGGGCTCAAGATCGTATGAAAAGTCAGTCAGATCAGCATAGAACGGATAAAGAGTTGCAGATTGGAGATTGGGTCTATGTCAAATTACAACCCTACCGGCAACAATCAGTGGCAAAAAGGATCAATAACAAACTGGCTCCAAAGTTCTTTGGTCCATTTGAGATTGTACAAAGAAGGGGTCAAGTAGCTTATAAGCTAAATCTTCCCATAGAGGCAAGAATTCACCCAGTGTTCCACATTTCTCAACTTAAGAAGCATAGAGGGGATCTGCCTGAGAAGTTAACTCTACCTCAATTGGATGATCAAGGAGTCATTAGAGTGGAACCTATGGTTGTGCTTGAAAGGAAAATGGCTAAGAAGAAAAACCAAGCTGTTGTATACTGGTTGGTTCAATGGGCAAATGGAACTAAGG